GGGTTGTCCTGGGGGCTGCGGCCGGCCTGAATCCCTGCTGCCCCGCAGAGCCGGCGTGCGACATGGCGAATCACCTCCGGTTCATCGGCCGCACCGTCATGGTGCAGAACGGCAACGTCGAGGCGGCCTACGGGGCGCTGAACAGGCGAGTGGGAGCGGGGTCGCGGGCGGCACCCCGGAGCGCGTGGGGCGAGGGTGGAAGCAGCCTGGCGTGCTGTGGGTCGCAGTATGCGGGACGGGCAGCTGCCACCTCCCGAGCGTATCTGGAAATTGCTGCTGTTTTTAGTGGAGTTTTCACTGGAAGAAGAGCTTTTTCCTGTGTGTTGCAGAAATAGTCGCTGTCAAGCTGTATTGCAGAAGAGCTAAGGCCTGCTTTGAAACTGCTTTGGATTCCGTGAAGCTCAGCTGAGGAAATAACTATCACACAAATTCAAATACGTGTATAACAGCTTGTCGTTTGACAGGGTACTCTTTCTGTCCCTGAAATCACCCTTGATAAAGGAGAGGGGAAGCTTTTAGCAAGCCAGATCCACGCGTGTGGTAGATGCGTCTAGTACGGCTGGACGCTGTGGTGCCCGCCGCGTGTTAATCCTCGTTCCCCCAGCGCAGTTGAGGGTGGCTGGCGACGCTGCTGGAAGGTCGCTGGGTGAGTTGTGAAGTCTGGTTATAACGTTAGGACGCGTTTTGTGGGGAAAGCAGTGATTCTCATCGAGGCTGGCTGTGTCTCGGCTCAGCAGCAATGTCGCGTTCATCTGCAGGGTCAGAGCTCTCTGTGGCTGGAGAGGAGCGGTAATTTTGTCTAGTCTTTGCTTCAAGATGAAGCATTGGTCCTTATGGCTCAATATTGTTTCCTTTCATTACCTGTGTTCTGTACAATTCTTTCCAGTCGAAGTGAGTTCACAAGCAGTACTCAAAGGGAAGATGCAGCATAGCCTGGTGTAGGATCTCTCTATTGTCATGCAAGTCAGGCTAAGTGCCTAAGCTATTAGGGGTTTCTCTTTGCTTGTGCTTTTTAAAATGATTGGCTGCAGGTCGGTAAGAGCTCAAGACGCTTTAGTGCTGCAACTGAGCCTCATCGCTCTTTCCTCCCTGTTGTGAGATAGGAAACCGTTACCCTGATTTATGGCTGGGTCAAAGGCTGGCAGTTGTGTCCTGAGCCATCGGGGTGTCTGAGCTGAGACTTGCAGTGATCTGGACCTGGGGCTTGCCCTTGCCCTTGTGCTGCTCTGCCCTTGGTAATTCAGTAGCGCTGGGACTCTCGCTGCAGGGGCCTGGCAGGGCAGGACAGGAGCCAGGTCCTCATTAGCCTGCGTATGCAGGTCCTCGCACAAATACACCGAGGCACGTCCAAATAACTGGTGTTCCCGGCATGTGTTTTGGTATCGTCTCGGGCGCTAATGAAAGCTCTTCGTTCAGA